GTTTATGAGGGAAGTAACAGTTACAGTTCAGGCTTAGGAACACTCAGGATACAGTTCTTCCGTCAGGACAGCTTCTTCCCAGCTGTGCTTATAGGCACACCTCTCCCTGACCCTAGGCCTCTGCCCAGAGGTACTCAGCTTTCTCTCTGTGGGCTGGGAAGCCCACCATGCTGTCTCCTGCTGTTGGGTCTCTGCTGCTGAGCCTCTCGTGCCATGGCTTCTCATCGTCTTCAGGGTTACAGCTTGTTCGTCCTGTGTCCTGGTTCCAGGAGCTTCTCAGCGCAGGGATTCCGGGTCCAAAGGACACGCAGACTCCTGGCTGTTCTTCCGTGGTGGTGGTGGGGGCTTCTCTTTACTGCCTCTGGGGTGGCTCGTTTCAAACCCAGTGGGATGGCAAAATTGACCAATCCCCTTGGTGGGTCACAGTTACCCTATCACACAATCCCACCAAAACACCTGGGTAGGAGTTACAAGACCATGGCTAGAAAGGCCACATAAAATGCAATCCATTACACCGCACCCACCACCAAGATTTAGAAAACTGGGAATTCCTAAAGCAAAACAGGAATTCAGAGCTGGGTAGCCCCAAAACTGGCAAAACTTATAAAGTGCTTAATACTATGGCTGACATGTGGAAAGTACCCGATAAATGTTGGCTTTAATCTATTTTTGCCAGTCTTTATTGAGAAAAAAGGTAAGGGAGATTTCCACTCCCAGATTTGATGTTTTTAGCAGCTAGTTTAAAGCTGCTAGAACAAATAAAGGTAAACGGGTGAATGTAATTTCTAAGCCTACAATTTACATGGTAGTCCAACTGACCTCACTAGATAGTACTTTCCCAATTGTTCTGAAACAAGTCAAGGGTAAATCTGGACCTATTAGCCAAAATTTATAAGGAGCCACTGGCCCAGATTGCCACTGCAACTCCCTTGCCATCCTTTAGTATCTCCCTTTTCATCTGGTTTCCCATTTATCTGTTCAATAATAATATAGTATAGAAAGTCAAGGCCTTAGTGCCAGAAGACCTGGATTTGAATCTCTACCCTTTCAGTCACTAGCAGTGTGACCGAGGCAGGTTACATAATTTCTTAGACTGCTCTCTCTCTCTGTGTATTTATGTGTAGAATCAAGGCCCACCTTCCAAGAATATTTTTGCGGATTTAAGTGAAAACACCTAGCACATAGTAAGTACTGCTCAATAAATATTTATTTTAAAACAAAACCCTTGGGAATTATAGAAGATCAAATTTTACATTTTTTAAAAAATTCAAGAAATCTGTAATGCATAAATATTTAAGCCAGTGTCATTTATTAGGGCAGCACTTTCAGGGCACCCATGAGGTCAAAATGTTTTTATAATAATACCAGGATGTCATTTGTCTTTTCACTTTGACTCTCAGGAGTGCAGTTTGCAGAGGCTACATGGCATGTGATGTCAAAATAGATTGAATGTGGAAGCAGATATGAGAATCATCTGCCTTTTGTTTAGTCCAGTATTAAAGAGATTTGCAAAAATGTAAAACAATCAGCTTCTGTAACTTTTCACACTAAATTTTTTTAAATTCTTTTTTTTAATAAAAACTGTTACTTATGTTAACATGTTATTTTTATTTTAACATGAATTAATACAGTTCTAAAATTTCTATTTTAATTTTAATTCTTGCAACTATTGTTAGATAAAACCTATACAAAGTTTGAGGGTATGAAGGGTTCCTGAGACAAAGAAACTTGAGAGCTGCTGTATTAGGGGAAAGTGCCACGTTTTATGTACAAGGAAACTATGATTGGCTAATTTATTAGAGATATTTAAGTGGACCTTATTTAAATATGTGGGCTTGGGGCAACTTTCAAAAATCCAAGTTTAGCATAGCAGAAATATTATATTTTGTATATATTCTATGTTGATATATATTTCTATAGACCTACTTAGATAGGACCAGTGGGAAGGCTTCTCTGAGACAATAACATTTAAGCTGAGAAGTGTGAGTATGAGAAGGAGCACAGGGAATAGTTCCCAACAAGAGAACTATGTGTACAATTTCCTGAGGTATGGAAGAGCTCTGCCTGTTCAGTTCTTCCTTTTAGAAAGCCATTGTGCCCAGAATGTGGTAGAAGAACATGAGGTTGGAGAGGCAGGCAAATTCTAGGTCATACAAGGCCTTGGAGCTATGGAAATAAGTTGTCTGCAGTTTAGATGTGTGAAGGGTTCACATGTGTTAAAGGCTGAGAGATCTGTAAGGTTTTATTTGGCCAGACTAGTTAATGAATACTGTTTAACTCCATTGAGATAGTTGTGATGGAGAATGAGCAGGGACAGTTATGAGAAAGAAACTTACTCAACAAATATGTTTTATTTTATTTTTTAAGTTTTATTGTGCTTTAGGTAAAAGTTTATAGCACAAATTAGTTTCTCATTCAAAAATTTATACACAAATTGTTTTGTGACATTGGTTTCAATCCCCACAATGTGTCAGCACTCTCCCTCTTTCCACCCCGGATTCCCTGTGTCCATTCATCCAGTTTTCCTGTCCCTTCCTGCCTTCTTGTCTTGCCTTTGGGCAGGAGTTGCCTATACTTGATTGGGAGCCCTGGTAATGTAGTGGTTAAGTGTTCGCCTGCTAACCAGAAGGTCGGCAGTTTGAATCCACTAGCTGCTCCTTGAAAACCCTATGGGGTAGTTCTACTCTGTGCTACAGGGTCACTATGAGTCGGAATCAACTCAACAGCAGTGGATACTTGATTGAGCTAAGAAGCACATTGCTCATAGGTGTTACCATTGTTTTATAGGCCTGTCTAATCTTTGGCTGAAAAGTGGGCATTGGGAGTGGTTTCAGTTCTGAGTTAGCAGAGTGTCCAGGTGCCATAGTTTTGGGGGTTCCTCCAGTCTCTGTCAGACCAGTAAGTCTGGTCTTTTTTTGTGAAATTGAATTTTGTTCTACATTTTCCTCCCACTGTGTCCAGGACTCTATTGTGATCCGTGTCAGAGCAGTCAGTGGTAGCCAGGCCCCACCTAGTTCTTCTGAGCTCAGGCCGATGGAGGCTGTGGTTCATGTGGTCCTTTAGCCATTTGGACTAATGTTTTCCTTGTGTCTATGGTTGTCTTCAGGCTTCTTTGCTCCAGATGGATGGGACCAATAGATGTATCTTAAATGGTCACTTGCAAGCTTTTAAGATCCCAGATGCTACTCACCAAAGTAGGATGTAGAACATTCTCTTTATGAACTCCGTTATGCCAGTTGACCTAGATGTTTCTCTCAAGGCCATGGGTCCCAGTAACTCAAGGTGTTTAGATGTGTCTAGGAAGCTTCTATGACTTTGCCTTGGTCAAGTTGTGCCGACTTTCGCTATATTGTGTGTTGTCTTTCCCTTCACCGAAGTTAACACTTACCTCCTATCTAGTTAGTATAGTTGGTGATTCTCCTCCCCAGCCCTCCCCTCCCTAGTAACTATCAAAGATTTTTTTCTATGTCTAAGCTTTTTCTTGAATTTTTATAATAGTGGTCTCATACAATATTTATCCTTTTGTAATTGATTTATTTCACTCAGCATAATGCCCTCCAGATTCATCCATGTTGTGAGATGTTTCACGGATTCATCATTGTTCTTTATTGTTGCATAGTATTCCATTGTCTGTATGTACCATAATTTGTTCATCCATTCATCTGTTGATGGGCGCTTAGGTTGTTTCTATCTTTTTGCTATTATGAATAATGCTACACTGAACATGGTATGCATATGTCTATTTGTGTGACAGCTCTTATTTCTCTAGGATATATTCCTAGGAGTAGGATTGCTGTATCATATGGTATTTTTATTTCTAGCTTTCCATAGTGGTTGTACCATATTACGTTCTCACCAGCAGTGCAAAAGAGTTCCAATCTCCCTGCAACCTCTCCAACATTTGTTATTTTCTGTTTTTTAGATTAGTGCCAGTATTGTTGGGGTAAGTTGGTATCTCATTGTAGTTTTGATTTGCATTTCTCTAATGGCTAATAATCGTGGGCATTTCCTTACATGTCTGTTAGCCACCTGAATGTTGTCTTTGGTGAAGTGTCTGTTCATATCCTTTGCCCACTTTTTAATTTGTCTTTTTTGTTGTTGAGATGTTGAAGCAGTTTGTAGATTTTAGAGATTAGACCCTTGTCAGATAAGTTGTAGCCAAAATTTTTTTCCCAATCCGTAGGTTCTCTTTTACTCTTTTGGTGAAGTCTTTTGATGAGCATAAGTGTTTAATTTTTAGGAGCTCCCAGTTATCAAGTTTATCTTCTGGTGTTCGTGCATTGTTAGTTATGGTTTATATTTATACCCTGTATTAGGGCCCCTAGTGTTGTCTTTATTTTTTTCTTCCGTGATCTTTATTGTTTTAGGTTTTATATTTAGGTCTTTGATCCATTTTGAATTAGTTTTTGTGTATGGTGTGAGGTATGCATCTTGTTTCATTTCTTTACAGATAGACATCCAGTTATGCCAGCACCATTTGTTAAAGAGACTGCCTTTTCCCCATTTAGTGAAGTCTGGTCCTTTGTCAGATTCAACAAATATGTTTTAAATAACTAAGCACATGTGTTAGCCACCAGGGCTCTCTAGAGAAACAGAACCACACAGAGATTGATTGCTTTTAAGCAATTGGCTGACACACTTGTGGAGGCTGGCAAGTCCAAAATCTGTAGGTCAGGTGGCTGATTGGGAAACTCCATCAGGTTATCTGTTACAGTCTTGAGGGAGAATTCCTTCTCCTCTCAGAAACCTCAGTTTTTGTTCTTAAGGTCTTCAACTGACTGGATGAGGCCCACCCACATTATGGAGAGTAATCTCCTTTAATTAGCATTAACTGATTGTAAATGTTAATCACATCAATAAAATTCTCTCACATCATCATCTGAACTAGTACTATTTTAACCAAACAGCTGGACACTATAGCCTCATAAGGTTGACACATAAAATTAACCATCACAATACGTATCAGATTCTTCTACTAATTACATCTTTATTTATTTCAGTGCTCTTCTTTTTAATGAAGTAAAATATATTACTACTCTGGAAGACCTTCAGAACATAGAAAATGCTCTGAAAGGAAAAGCAAATATTGCATTTGCATATGTAAGAGCCATTGGAACATCAGGTACTTAAGAACTTTAACTTTAGTCTTTCCTTTGCTTTGTACTTAGGTATGTTAAAGTACTTAAAATAGGGCATTTTGGCCAAAATATGAATACAGTAAAACCTGCAAAAGCTGGAACTGTCAGGGAAGGAAAAGTAAAATATATTCTACTAATAGAGAGCAATAGAAAAATGTTTAAGACTGCACCCTGTTAAAGGTGACAACCTTGAGAGACCCGGAAAGACAAGGCAGTCCTGTTGAGTTCCTGGTCTCACAGATTTCACTGTACTTTAAAATAAATTTTAAGCAGTTTTACTATTATGTTATCTTTCTTTAAGCAGGCAGCGTAGTGTAGTGGTTGAACTAGAACTCTGAAGCGAGAATGCCTAGGTTTGACTCCCTGCTCCACCAGTTGCTGATACTGTTGTGATGCTGGGCAAGTTACTTAATCTTGCTGTGCCTCAGTTTCCTAATTAATAAGATGAGAAAAATAATTGTGCCTATCTCTTAGTGTTTATAATTAAATGCCTTTGAAGAGTTAAAATGGATTTGGCATATAGTTGGTGCTTTGTAAGTGTTACCTATTACTGTTTTTATTTTTTACAGTTCCTCATGGTACCTGATGTGATGTATTGTTCTCTAGTATTCAGTTAATATTATTAACTGTCTGGCTTTCTTTTTTATTTTGATATTTGCTGTTTACCAGATTTTTTTCTGATTTTTATTTTTCTGAATTCTTCCATTTTTTTGTCTGTATTTTCCATGAATTTGTCTATTTTTTCCTCATTTTTGCCTGCTTTTTGCTTCAACTCTTGGGTAATTCTGAGTATTAGCGATTTGAATTCCCTATCAGGTAGTTCTAGTGCCTTTTCTTCCACTGGAAAGTCATCTGGTATTTTATTTTGGATGCCTACTGGAACCATCCTGTC